TGGGAAATGAAGAAATGCGTGGCAGTGGTCAGGGGAAAAGTGTATGTTAGTGTGGCAGCAGTCTGGAAAAGTGTATGTCAGTGCAGCAGGGGATACTAAGGTGTATAGGTACAATTGTAGTCAGTGAAAGTGCCTGTGTTTTCTTATTAGCGGGTCCAGTGGTACTTTAACTTCAGAAAGTGATGTAATTCTGTGGATCCCAGAACCTTAGAACTATTCTGACAGTGCCCTTGTGAATGTGTATCCTCAGAACTATGAAGGCAGGCAGTGTAGTTAATGAGAAATACTTGACCGTGCATGTCTGTGCCGCATACTTAACCATTTGCTGCCGAAGCCAATTTTGACACATCTCACATCAACCACTTCCACCTCATGTAAAAGTGATTTGGTGGCTGTATAGCTGCTTGGATCACTTTTACATTATAGAGCCTTGCCAACTCTCAAAAAAAGATACAAGGTTCATGACTACAGTTGTAGCAATGATCCTGGTAAAACCACTGTATCCCAAGGACATACAGGTACGGCCATTTGTGGGAAGTGGTTAAGCTGGCAATACATGGCAAGATTTCTCTAGTTTAGCCCACAAACTGAAAGACAGAAAATCTATAGATTCCTCCATCCACACTGAACAGTATGAATGGAGGAATCTCCACGGCTGGTTCTTGTATGTAGGCATCCTCAGCATTCACTGCTGCTTGAATGCTTGAACAGTGATTGCACCTTTTATTCTGACAGTGTTCCACCCAGCTCTTCAATTTTCAGTGATAATGGGAGGTGCTGACAGGGCCACATAAAAATATCTTCTCAGAAATGTGAGGAGACTCAACAGCCCAAATACACATCCAGCACTGTGCCTAAATTAACTATATGTGCCTAAAATAGATTCAAGGAAACATGACGGATTATTTTAGGGGTTTTATAGTTCTATAATAAACTGTTTGATTTGGGGGATTAGTTCACTTGGATGTATTTTAAAGTGTTACTAAACCCACAACAGTAAAATCAGTGTGTATATGCAGTAAAGCATGCTTGTGTTATAGTCACTGTGGAATGTAAGGGGTTAATCCTCTGCATTGTGTAAAAAGGCTGTTTGATCCTTTCTTCTCTGCCCCTCCTTTTGTTGAAAGGACCACCTGATACAGACTGAATTCGTAGTCACATGCACATGCTCAGTTTAGTGTGTATTGCTAGAGAGGTTTTTTTTTTCTTGGGAGAGTGCATGTGATCAGCACAGAGCCAATCAGCACTGTCCAGACAAAGGGTCAAGACTTTCACAACCTCCTAGAGCAGAAAGAAAACTCCTCCTACAATCTTTAACCAGTGCTCTGCTGAAGTCACAAGACTGCTCTAACTGCTGATGAGAAAAGGTATTTAGCAGTTATATTTACTAAAGTAATTACATTTCCATGTTCTATGTACTATGGGAGACCAGAAATAGTGAATGCAGGTCCTGGGTTTAGTAACACTTTAAGTAATTATATTTAATTTAGCGTGTATATCTGTTGAACCTCAGAACAGTTTCTGAAAAGCTATTTTGTGTAGTTTGATGATACTGGAGACTCTGGACCGTATGCAAAGGGTTTGCACATCATTTTGCTTGTTATGTTGCTGGCAGGGCCATTCATAGCTCAAATCTGAGCTGGTTCTGTAGGAATTGGACACAGTTCGAACAGTGAGTGGCCAGCTGAGTGTAATAAGGCTCATGCCTGGTACATATATCATTTTTCGTTCATCCCAGCAGGCGAACAAAAAATAAACTGAGGGGATCTCTGTACAAACCATTGGCTGCAAGTGCTGATCGGATGCCGATTGGCTCCTGGTTTTCGAGCATGCTTGTTCGACAGAAGCCTGTCGCGAGATCGGCTTCTGTCAGACAAGAAGCTGTACACACAGGCCGAAAGTCATTCAGTTTCTACTGTATGCGCTGGTTTTGGCTGATATTCAGCCCGTGTGTACAGGGCTTAGCTGCCATTCAGTGATAGCCCAGGAAGTGAGATAAAACAGTGAGGCTAGCTCTTGCTCTAACTTTCTGAGTTCATGCAATACAACCATTGAATGAGTTTTTTTAAGGGCTCATTCACACTAGCAGTTAAGGGATGGTAAAACCTGGTAGTTGAGCTGCATTTGTACTGTTAAGATGAGATACAACATGAGATATTAACATGTTACAAGATGGAGTCACAAGGAAGCCATCTCGGTATGAATTAAAAGTGGACTATGAGTGAACTACGGTACGATCTACCTCTTGTTGTGTTTACGGTACGATCTACCTCTTGTTGTGTTTACGGTACGATCTACCTCTTGTTGTGTTTACGGTACGATCTACCTCTTGTTGTGTTTACGGTACGATCTACCTCTTGTTGTGTTTACGGTACGATCTACCTCTTGTTGTGTTTACGGTACGATCTACCTCTTGTTGTGTTTACGGTACGATCTACCTCTTGTTTTGTTTTGTGTTTACGGTACGATCTACCTCTTGTTGTGTTTTGAGGTCTTATTTCTTATTTTAGCCTTGTCAAGACAATGTAAGAATGAAAGGATGCCTGTAAATCAAGGCTCATGATGGTAACCATTGTTCTAGATGTGTGGGATGATGGTTCAAAGCAGGTGGATAGGAAAGAAAGTGCGGCCTTGTACCTTTTGGTTGTGGGGTTTTTCTATAGTATGGATTTTCTTTTATGTGTTTTTTTGGCTGATGTACTAGACTTATACAAACATAATTTATCGTCAGTTATTGTTGTGATGTTTACAATGTCCCCTGTTCCAACTGGATATGTGCACTAGATATAGAATAGTGTAGAAAGCATGTAAATGATATGTAACCGATGCCACAGAAAACCTGCGTTTTTATTCTTGGACCTTGTCACTCTGCCTTTGATGCTTTGTGATCCAGTGTGCACTGCTATTGCTCAGTAAACCATACATAGCCGGAAGATATATCTGTATGGATGACCTTCATTGCAAGGCTAACATTTATATTACTACCCCAAGCAGCACTCCCCTTTTAGCTGCCAAGACAGCGGCCAAAGGGTGTACACATGCCATGGCTGTGACGCTATGTTTTGCAGCCATAGCATGAATTATACTCCCTTTTTGTGGGCGAAGCACCTGCCAGAAAGACCCATTCAGTGGAAATGGAGTGCTCTGCAAGCATCCTGCAGCCGTCTGCAATGCATGAGGTTTTGTCGTGCCAGTTCAGGTTTCAGGGGTTATAAGGGTGATAAAACACCTCCTTGCTGCCTGTCTAATGCTCTTTGAAGAGTGATCCAAACACAGATCACTCTTCAAAGGGCAAAGCAAGTGTGAACATGCCCTTAGAACTAGCTTGTACACAGATATTACAGCAGAAAGTAAGACTCCTTTGTGCCACTGAACTGGGTGGTTCTCTGAACATATATAAGGAGAGGGGTATCTGCAAGCAACCTGTGATATTTAATGTGTAGTACTTATGCTTACTCAACCGAACAAGTTTCCAATAACAATCTGGACATTAAAAACTACTGACTAAAGATTACTAATCATGTCACTGCAGGCAACTCGCCAGCAAAATCATTACTAAATAGAACACTAACCTGCTTCTATGGCATCACTTCTCATTGACCAAAATGTTTATTTACAGGTACTTATATAGCACTGTCAATGTACACAGTGCTTTACATATACTGGCATACCTCGGTTTATGAATGCCTCGGTCGACATAATTTTCGGTTTATGAATGAAAATCCATTGAAAATAATGCCTCGGTTTACGATTTTTTTTTTCTGCAATACGAACAGATTAATTGGTTTTCAGTGCATTTACGAATGTTTTTTTTAATCATGTCGCTGTACAGTACTATGCCTTTCAAGTGCACTTTATAAAGAGTTTTGAACAGATAAGACATTTTTGGCTTTTTTCTGACCTCCGGAATGGATTAATTGGTTTTAAATGCATTTACAATTTTTTTTTAAATCAGGTCCCTGTACAGTATTTATGCCTTTAACCACTTGCCTACAGGGCACTTATACCCCCTTCCTGCCCAGGCCAGTTTTCAGCTTTCAGCGCTGTCGCACTTTGAATGACAATTGCGCGGTTATGCAACACTGTACCCATATGACATTTTAATAATTTTTTTGAGACAGATAGAGCTTTCTTTTGGTGGTATATAATCACCTCTGGGTTTTTAGCTAAACAAACCAAAAACAACTGAAAATTAGTTTTTGTTATAAAATTTTGTAAATAACTGATTTTTCTCCTTCACTGATGTGCGCTAATGAGGCTGCAGTAATGGGCACTGATAAGCTGCACTGATGGGCACTGATAAGGATCAAATTTAAAATCCTAACACTGACGTACAAAGCTGTCCACCATACTGCCCCAAACTACATCACCGACCTAACATCCAAGTACCGCCCAGCACGCACACTCAGCTCCTCACAAGACCTCCTTCTCTCTAGTTCCCTGGTCTCCTCTCCTCCTCCCATGCCCGCCTCCAGGACTTCTCCAGGGTGTCACCCATCCTCTGGAACTCCCTTCCCCAACCCATCAGATTATCACCTACTCTCCTCTCCTTTAGGCGCACCCTGAAAACCCATCTCTTCAGGGAAGCCTACCTCACCCCCTGCTAACTTGACCGACCTCCTCCACTCTTCCTACCACTCCATCCCCCACAGCTATCTCCTCCTCTACCACTATCCCGTCCCTTCTAGATTGTAAGCTCGAAAGAGCAGGGCCCTCGATCCCCTCATGTTTTGCATTGTATTGTTATTGTTCTGTCACATGTTCTGTCCCCCTTTGTAATGTACAGCGCTGAGTGAACTATCGGCGCTTTATAAATACTGTATAATAATAATAATAAGGAGGCACTAGTAGGTGGCACTGATGGGCATTGACAGGCATCACTGATGGGCATTGACAGGCATCACTGATGGGCACTGAAAGGCAGCACTGACAGGCACTGATAGGTGGCACTGATTGGCACTGATAGGTGGCACTGATTGGCAGCACTGATAGGTAGCACTGACTGACATTGATAGGTGGCACTGACTGGCACTGATAGGTGACACTGAAAGGAAGCTCAGATGGGCACTGATATGTGGCATTGATGTACACTGGTGGGCACTGATATGTGGCATTGATGTAGCACTGATGAGCACTGACAGGTGGCATTGATGAGCACTGACAGCTGGCATTGATGGACACTGACAGGTGACACTGCTGGGACTACACTGATCATCAGGGGCACACACACTGATCATCAGTGCCCTGATCATCAGTGTACATGTCCCCTCCGAGGAATGCCGATTACAGCTCGTGAGGAGAGACATGCCGATAACCGGCATTTCCCTATTTACATGTGATCAGCTGTGATTGGACACAGCTGATCACATGACTGAGCCGACATCTTCAGCTCTTTCCATTGATGGGTGATTCACTGTGTCCGAGGGACACAGCGCACCACGATCGCCGTGCTGCGCACTCCCTGAGCCGCGCATGCACGGTTAGAGTGGGAGGACGTCATATGACGTCCTCCCAGAATGAGAGAACCGCCTTGCACCTGTCATTACCTTATATGGTGGGCAGGAGGCAGTTAAAGTTCACTTTATAAAGAGTTTTGAACAGATAAAAGACTTTTTTTTACTTTTTTCTGACCTCCGAAACAGATTAGTTGGTTTTCAGTGCATTCTTATGGGAAACCGCATTGCGGTTTACGAATTTTTCGCAATACGAAAAGTCCCGCAGTACGCATTAAATTGGTAAACCGAGGTACTCCTGTATATTGTACTCACACGAGTCCCTGCCCTTAAAGTGTAACTAAAAGCAACATTTTTTATAGTTTTGGATGGAGTGCAGAGGGGTTAGAACATCTGGCTGGTTTTATTGCTGTCTTGTACCCCCATTAAGCAGATTCACCCTCTCTATTTGTCCTGTTTGCCAATATCATTGAAAGCGAAAGTAAAAGAAAATCCCAAATTTTGGGTTGTATCCAGAAAAGGGGGAATCTTCCAATGGGGACACAAGTTCTGGTGACCTGGAAGTCCCCAAGGAATTCCCTTAATTTACATGGATTTCCTCTCACTTCCTGTTTGGGTATGGGACAGAAAGTGAAGGTAAATCTCCGCAATGGGACACAAATGGCAAAAAAAAAAAATCTGATGGGTTATAACCCTCACTTGCTGTATCCAAAATATCCTATAGTTCTACTGTAGGGAGCCAAGGTCCCTGACTCACATTCATACACATATTAGGACCAATTTAGACAGGATCCAATTAACCTACCGGCATTTCTTTGGAGTGGGGAGGAAACCCACACAGGCAGAACATGCAAACTCCCAGCAGGCAGTGCCTTGGTTGGGATTCAAACCAACGACCCTAATGTTGCTAGGCAGAAGTACTAACCAGTTAGTCACTATGCTACCCAGCTTGAAGAATCACCTTTGTCAGAGAGGGAGCAATGACAGACCAATAGCTCACTGGTCCAGCTAACAAAGCAGCAACACCTTAGACGCAGGTGAGAAATATCTTTACTCTCCTATCACTGGTGATTTGATGCCAATGATAGAGCCTAATCCAGTCATGCATCAAAGGTTTGTGTCCAGAATTATTTTAAAAATGTCATTGTATATATTCAAAATACAGAAAATATATGTTATAAAATGGCAGTCAGAATTTGCATATCCTGATGTTTTAATACAGCAGAATTGCTTTTCCCCTCCCTATGCAGCTCCATGGGAAAGCAAAAACGGCTCAAAAGGAAGTCAGAGGCAAGAGGGGGGCTTTGTACAGCAAGTCCATAGCATAAAACAAACAAAACATGTGCTTGTCTGAGGCACTAACCAAACTGATGTCAGTTCCTGACTAACAGAATCCCCCCTAATAGGTTCCACTGAAACAAACAGGCACCTCTTCTGCCTTTTTAGTGTTCTGTCAGCAATCAGCTTTTTCACCTAGACTTCCAAGAGCAGAGGTATTAGAGAGCTCTGAGCATCAGTAAAGCTCTGCGTAAACTGTTGGCTCTATATAAATCCTGTATAATAATAATAATCAGTAAGCTCACATATACAGTATAAAGGATCATGGATAGCTGAGACTAATAATAATGTCTGGCTACCATGTAAGATGTGGACCTAGGAACAGAGTCTTTATCTCAGATAAGCACTTTGATTAGTACATGCTTGAATATCTGTCAAAATGACTTGCTCTGAAAGCCTTGTGCACACTGTTCGTTTTTAAAGTGACTGTTACGGCTCGTTTACCCTTAAATGTGGCATTGGACACGCTTTTTTTTAAAACATTCTGAATGCCAGTCAAATCACCTGTCACAAAATAAAATGGTAAGCTTACACCCCTTAAATACCATACAGTGTAAAAATCAATAAAAATATAAAATAATTAAAATAACCTCCAAAAAAAAAAAAATATATACAAAATATTGCATTCATATTATAGTGTCCAAATAATTATAAATAAAGGAAAATCCTTTCTCCCCAATAAATTGTAAAAAAAAACAAATATCCAAACGAAATAATGCTTCCACCAATCACCAGTGAAAAAAACAACATCAACCGCACTCACCAGATGATGGTGAGTAATGCGCCTTTTAGGATGTTTTGGGATCCTAAGCCCCCTTTAAAGTCTTCAGGACTCCTTCCCACCATAAAGGATTTAAGATATTTCTTCCATTCGCTCCTGCCTTCTCCTCTCACCAAACTCCACAGCAGTGCAAGGGAAAGAAGTACAGAATAGTGTAATACTGCTAATAAAGAGTGCAATAATTGATAAAAATTGCCAGTCCACTCACATTCGGTAAGATGAATACAAGCATCTATTTTATTGCCTCCATTTATTGCCTATTTTATTGCCTCCATCGGCTAACATGAGTTCCACTGCTTCCACATCTCATAACAGAGACCTCATGCGGGACATCAGGACGGCAGACCGGAAGTGCATCTACGCGTTTCGCCCCACCCACAGGGCATTCTCAAGACACACACCTCCAGTCTAAGGCCACTTAAATAACAATACAAGATCCCTCCCCTTCTCCCCCACAGGTCAATTAAGGCCAATATGTAAACTACCTAGCTGTCATCCCTTGCTCACACCCCGCGAGATTCCTTCACAAAGACATCAAATCGCTCAGATCTCCATCTAATCGTTAGTTCGCCCCAAAAACTTTATTATAATCTTGAACCAACCATAACGCATACCTAAATTCATTTGAAATCTGAGACATAAAATGAAACAAAAAAAATCAAAAATAAAACATTCTTTAATATATAAAATATATGAAAAAAAAGTGTATATATACAGTATATATATATATATATATATAATATATATTATGAGTACATATATATACATCTTGAGGAAACAAATAACACAAAAAATGCAAAAAAAAAATATGAATGAATAAATATATATATAAATAAAAAACCAAAAAAAAAAAAAAATAATTTCTTATTTTTTTCTTATCATATTATTAATATTTTTATTTAATTTTTATTATTTTTATTTTTTTGTTTTTCATTAATATATATATATATATATATTTTTATTATTATTTATTAATACTTTTTGTTTGTATTTGTAAACAAATCCAAACAATAGTCAAAATGGCCGCTTGGAACGCACTGCTCGGCGTGCGTTCCACTCACCGGAAGTGACACAGGATCTCAGGACGGCAGACTGGAAGTGCGTTGACGCGTTTCGCGCCACCCACAGGGCGTTCTCAAGACCAGTCTTTTTTGTTGTTTGGATTTGTATCCTGTCATCCCTTGCTGAACCAGACTGTGAGGTCTCTGCAATGAGGTGTGGAAGCAGTGGAATTTTTGTGAGCCTATGGAGGCAATAAAATTATGCTTTTTATTCATTTGATAAATGTGAGTGGCCTGGTAATAATTTTTTTAACATTACATCAGTTATTAGCAGTATTACATTATTATACGTTTCTCTCCCTTGCACTGCTGTGGAGTTTGGTGAGAGGATAAGGCAGGAGTGAGTGGAAGAAATACCCCAAGTTCTACATGGTGGAAAGGAGTCCTGAAGGCTTAGAGGGGGCTTAGGATCCCTATACATCCTAAAAGGTATTACTCACCTTCATCTGGTGAGTGTGGCTGATATTGTTTTTTTTTCACTGGTGATTGGTGGAAGCACTATCTCGGTTTGGACATTTGATTTTTTCATAATTTCTTTGGGGAGAAAGGGACTTTTTCTTATATACTTTTTTATTGATTTGGACATTAATATGTTTTGAGGGCACCTTTATTGATTTTTCACTTTAAGGTGTTTAAATTATTGATTGAGGAAGGGTGTTGATTTGCGCTGTTTTGTTTTTTTCAAGTATAAAGTTTGGTTGAGGGGGAATTATGGTTTTGGGTTGTTTTTCAGGGGTTGGGCTGGGCCCCTTAGTTCCAGTGAAGGGAACTCTTAAAGCGTCAGCATACCAAGACATTTTGGACAATTTCATGCTCCCAACTTTGTGGGAACAGTTTGGGGATGGCCCCTTCCTGTTCCAACATGACTGCACACCAGTGCACAAAGCAAGGTCTATAAAGACATGGATGAGCAAGTTTAAGGTGGAGGAAATTGACTGGCCTGCACAGAGTCCTGACCTCAACCTGATAGAACACCTTTGGGTTAAAATAGAGCAGAGACTGCGAGCCAGGCCTTTTCATTCGATGTCAGTGCCTAACCTCACAAATGCACTTCTGGAAGAATGGTCAATCATTCCCATAGACACACTCCTAAACCTTGTGAACAGCCTTCTCAAAAACGCTGTTATATCTGCAAAGGGCGGGCCAACTCAATATTGAACCCTACGGACTAAGACTGGGATGCCATTAAAGTTCATGTGTGTGTAAAGGCGGGTGTGCCAATACATTTGGCAATATAGTGTATATTCTTGTCTGGTACAGACATCACATCTGGTGAGCAGTGAGGTGCAGCAGCAGTGGGGTCTGGACCGGAATGGAGCAACTGGCAGACTGTACACGTTGTGTGCAACATGGGAACCCTATAGCAGAAGGTTAGTGGGAACTGGAGAGAGAGAACTGAGCGGCAGAGGATCAGGATAAACTAGCAATGTCACACATGGTGCACAGTGTGGGGAGCAATATAGCGAGAGGTGAGTGTGGACCAGAGAGAGAGAGAGAGAGAGCAGAATTAGCAAACCAGAGGATTAGCAGATCTGGGGATTACTACTGAGCAGGGGATCAGAAAAGCTGGGGGTACCACTGAGTTGGGCATCAGCAGAACTAATGGTACTACTGAGCAGGGGATGTTCTGAACGGGGGTACTAATAAACTGGGGATCTGCTGAACTGCATACCAATGAGCTGGGGTTTAGCCGAATAGGGGTACTAATGATCTGGATATCTGCTGAATGGGGGTACTACTGAGCTGGGGTTCTACTGTGGCCCCTTTAAAACAATCAACACACACACAGAGTCTTTACCAAGCTTCATTAAAGCTTCAAAAAAGCATCACCGAA